ACCCGACATTGTCTGGGGGGGCGGACCTCTTGGAGAGCTATCCCTCCAACTGGCAAGAAGTGCTGACTGAACTCAAAGCTTGCACCCATATGGAGACACTCTGAGCAGGAAAGTGGCCAAAAACTCAGGACAATGTCAAGGATATCTTGTGCAATGGAGCTCTTGCTGCTGCTAACCAAGTGGACTTGGCTAAAGGTCTCCTTACACTGTCAGTGATGGAGGGTATTGTGAATATGGTGCATAGTGGATGCATGCTCCACTTAGCATCATGCTTACCTGCATTCAGATGCATTCTATGCTGGCCTCTTTTCATAGTGCCATCAAATCAGAGGCATGTAAGATTGTAGCGGACTTCTATGAGTTCACCAAACCCCATGGGTGGGGCTCACAGGAAGATATCAAGGTGTTTGTCAAAAATATCCTCTGTAAGAATGATGGGTACTATATGCTGAAGATGTACAATCTCACAGAGGTCTGTTTTTTGTCCAAAATACTGTGTAGCATTCCTGACTGGATCATACAGCCTGATAAGGCAGGAGGGTTTGCCAAAAGTCCTGCTGCAGTGTACTTGATGCAGAATGTTTTCTTCAAGCACTCTTCAATCATGGCAGATGCCTACACCCATCCCGATGACTTCCCATTCAACCACTCTGGTTTTTGGGCAATGTGTGACTGTGCTGTACATGTATTTCGTCTGTGCAAGACAAAGAATGCTAAATGACTACTGGCCTAGATATATGCAGCTCTGGAAGAATGGTGTTCTGGCATGCTCATCCATCAGAAGTTTGGCATGGAATATCAGAGGCAGTATTTCACCATTCTGCATGCCATTTGCTACTACCGTGCCATATGTGTTTGTATGTACAAGGATACCAGCATATGGGATGCCATGAGCGCACAGGTGTCTGAACAGATTGTGTATGTCCAAAATCATCTGATCCTCCTTATGTTGGCATTCACACAAAGAGTAGAAGTTCTCAGGGTCTTTCTTCATCTCAAGAAGTGGCTGGTATGAGCACAGAGTGGGTCTTAGCATATGTGTAGCAGCTGGCAAAACATTGTACTTTTGTAGCATCTCCAAGAGTAATGATCACATGACCCTTCTACCAGAATTGCTCCCATTAATGCCCGTGACATGTGGACCATGCTGACCTTCAACATTGAATGACCTTACTCACTCATGGCTTCTGACGATGAAATGGATGAAGGATCACCCAGCCCACTCATGCAGGCCCAAGATCTAGGTATGTAGACCAAGGAGTGTAGGGGGGACAGATTCTAATGCTCATAATCAGAGGATCCTGCAAGCAACCAAGCTGACAGTGAACATTTGCATGATGTGACAGAGTGGAGCACACCAGTGCCACTTGTTATGGTCAAAGAGTGCAGGAAGGAGTATAGGTTGGAGTTTTTAGATGCACTGATCTGACCCAAAAGGTGGCTGAAATATCGGTCTGATGGGTGGTGTGCAAGAACTTGCTCAGAAAAGAGGGGAGAGATGGGGAAAGTCAGTAGAAATGCAGGAGTCAGCCTGTAGCTGAGCTATCAATAGTCGGTATGCAATAATTGGAGCTTGGTGTCCATCCAGTCCAGTCATGATAAGTCAATTTGCTAAGTCAAGTCAAATCTGGCCAGTATACAAATAATCGGATCTGTATAAGTCTATCAGAAGAGGGGTAGAATAAGCTAGATACAGGAGTTTCTGGAAACTACTTATACTAGCTACTGAAAACTGCACTCTATACTAATCTGGTCTCTGGATACCTCTCCTAGGCAGGCGTTGGCATGCCAAATATCCATGTGGGTCAATCCCGTTGCGGGGGAAACCCACAGTTGTCATGCCAAATATCCGAGTAGTCCTGTTGCCTTGGAAATCATAGTCATTGCCATGCTGAATATCTGGGGGAGTTGAGACTCATTGCTGGGGTGCATTGCCCTGTGTAGTGAGGGTCCGTAGTGCTGTGCAACAGTCTCTAAGGCCCAAAAATAGTGGCAGGAATATTGGCCTGACACATCCCACCGGAGGTGGGGTTGTTCAGTGCATGGATGCATGGAGCAGAAAGGTGTGGTGATTTAAAAGGAGGGGTGGCAAGATGAGAGCACTGGTAAGCCCCCTCATCTCAGACCTTCATATCCACTGACACACAGGCATAGAGGATGACAGCAATGGTAAGGACAATGGCACACATTCCAGCCATGCCCAAAAGAGATGTGAGTCCACTTTTCTTATCTGGGGAGCCACTAGATGTGCAGTAGTCCTTGGGAGTGACTTGATGCATTGGGGGCACACTTGTAGTCATGGACACAGACCCAGAGTGCTGACATTCATCCATAGCTGGTGCAACAAGATGCCAATGTAGTCGAAAACATGCCAAAAGATTGAAAGACCATGATGAAGACACCAAGTCAGAAGCTAAGCCGTCAGAGGAGTCTGAAGAACTGATGGATGAGGAGGCTCAGGAGGAAACTGCTGAGAAGATGAAGAGACTTGGACTCTCCAAATTGCAGGCCATTGTGGATTGGTTGTCGCCCAACTGCTTGACCACTTACCCAGAGGATGCGCAAAAATCACTTCAAACTTGCAAGGCACACCTCTGCATTCTCATAGCCACTCTGAACACCTTCGCCAAGGATACGGCCACTCTGCATGGACTCATCAATACTGCAGTGGAATGCACAAATAGATCGAGTCTGCTGGATGAGCTCCCTACTGTTACTCTCACTCCAGGTGTACTCAAAATGGTATGTAGCTTCTTCCCATGAACAGAATGTCACTAAACGTCTGTGTAGCTGATGGGAGAGCCTGCACACTTTCAAGGCACTGTGAAGACTAGTGCCAGATCAGTCATCAAGCAATACTATGCCTTTCATGACAAGAAGTGGTGGAAGACTCCCACAGACATCCAACAGTATGTGGAGGTCCTCATCACACCTGACTGAGGATATTACATGCTGAAGAAGTTCAATCCTTCTAACGTGAGTACTATGTTCTTGTATGCACTTTAAGTAGTCTCAACCCCTGTCAGGCCATGGAGAGAAGTGGGATCTTTGGCAACCCTGTCATGGATGAACTTATCAAATATCACTGGTACCAAGAAACCTCCAAAGAAGCTGATGGGCTATCACTTCCTAGCTTCTTGGAGCCCTCTCCCCAGAAGTTCATTGCATTCAATTTCACAGTGGTAAGTAATCCCCCCCATAAACATTGAGGAACATGAATAAGCTGATAGAGGCACATATAGATACTTTGTGTGCTTGAAGAGTGGGCCAGCGGCTCTCAGACAATGCTACCCCTCTCAGCCAAATCATATTGGACTGACTACCTCTGGCTCTGCCAGAGCATTGACTTTTGGGACCAAAGAGCACATAGTTGTAATGAGGCTGGGTTCAAGGGGCTGATCTCTCCCTTGATGAAAAGAATATTGTGAGTGTCTTTGCATGGGGTGAAGTGGATGATTGTAAGCTGACATCCCATCAGAGACGCAGTTGCTATTGGTCCGTCACAGGATCCTAAGCTAAGATCTTTGGGTTGGGTGCTAAAGTACATGCCTCATCCTCTGAAAGCACTGACTGCTTCCAGAGGGGCCGATAATTCAACAGAGGGCTGCAATTAGAAACTTTGCAGTGTCCGTGATTACAGAGTAGGAAAAGGATGTCTGGTAGGGAGCTCAAGGGTGTCAAACATGATCAGACAATGGAGGACTCACTCAGATTAATGACACTGTTATCCATAGCTGTTTGTAAGGAGGAATGGGACATTGTAGCATTTACAAGTCAAGCATTTGATGCCGCAGAAACTATATTTGTACTCATGTCAAATGAATGGATTCATGCAAGCAAGTGCTATGCTATGTGGAACACCACAGGCGAACATATAAACCTAAATGTAATAAAAAAACCCAGGAACAATTGCCAACTGGAATGCCGGGCAGAGGAGCAACACAGTTCCTAAGTCTGATGAGATAGTTTATGTTGAAGGAGAAACACAACTGTCATGCACTGCACCTGGCTTTGAGTGAGAGCCAGAAGGGCCTCCAGACCAGGTTCTCCCCCCACATGGCACTCAGCATCCCAGTCACAAAGAGAATCAAGAAGCCACATATAGACAAAGTGGTCAGTGCTGGAGATAGGCAGCATCATGAAGTAACCATTCTGCCATTCAGTCAAAGTGTGATGGATCTATATAGTAAGGTTACATTGTGATAAGATGCATAGAAAAGAGTGAACATACAGCCCAAAAGGTCATAGCCATGAACAGCACTGTAAAACACTGGTAGAGATCTGGGAAGTGGAGGCCATTGCACCAAGGTGAAGATATATCAAAATAATGAGTGAGAATAGTGTTGATGCAGGCATCATTCTGAAAGATGCCCACACCCCATCTGATCTACTGGTAGTGTCAGCAATGATATGCATGGCAACTATAGGCAATGATACTGAGGCACAGGGCAAAGCAAGGGTGAAATGGCTGGTGTCAGGTTGCAAAATATATCAGACAAAAACAGCAATTGCCATGGGTGAGTGCCAGTGGGAAGGGTCCTGAAAGCAATACTTTTCCAGAAGGACCTTCCAGGCATTGCTTAAGAGACCTACACAAAAGTTGGAGAACACGTTGCTGAGCTGAAGGAGGTCAGTGGAAGGCTGATGCTGCTGGAATATGCCATACCTGGTCCAAGAGGTGAGAAGGCAATGTCTGGCCAGAATACAATGCCCCTTGTTTGATAAGCTCAGTGGAACAGTCAGCCACAACTTCCTTGATAATGTCAACTTCTTCATCACTTGGTGGCCAACTGCAGTGCAGAGCTATATGCGCACAAAGGGCTGCAGTATAAACCCTGAATTCCTCTGCCATAGGGGGGGGAGATGCTTCTTCATTTGTAGGAAGACAGTGAAGAGGAAGTATTGATTGGACATCCAATGATGTTGGCAGGAGCTGGGATTTCTCTGTGACCTGGTTGGGCTGGGGGAAGAGTGAAAGGGAGCCTGTTGCATGGCATGGCATGTGTGGATCAAGGGATTAAGCTGGAATAGTGCTGACTTACCATAGTGAAGAGGATGAACATGGGGCTCTGACAAATAAGCAGTAGACATCATGGAGGTATGGGAATAGTTGCTACTCTTGAGTAGGGTGACAGACAATTTGGAGGAGGGGAGCAGAACATGTTGTCAATGGTGATGCAGGACAAATAGGGACTAATCACATGATTTGACTGCACATTATGGGGTGAGCAAGTCACCCACTGGTCTGGATTGACTGTGATAAGTGATAGATTGTTCTTGGACACATACACTGTATCATTGATTGGAGTCAATGGTGGGAGAAACAGCTATGGGTTGGCATGTGCACTGGCAGGACAGAGACACAATTAGGGGACAAGGTCTCTCCTCATGATCGAATGAAGGGATCACCTTTTTGCACAACTTGAGGTGGTCATTGACTCTGAATGATTTTGGAACCTCGCACTGGCATGGGACTATCAAAAGTGCATCGGTATTGATTTATAATCAGTATGGACTAGCACACATCAGCCCAGTACAAATTGATAAAGCCAATTGCCAGTGGGATTGACAAGAATAGTCATCCAAACCTTCAAAGTGACTAGCAATGGTCTGCTGTAACAATGGTACCTGCAGCATATGCAAAGGACAGCCAGGTGGTAAGCATGTCACCTGATTGAGATGTTTTGGTAAGGGATTGGAGGGAGTGGCAGAGGACTGGAATGATGTGTGGTCAGTTGTAGAGCCTGGGACAATATTTATGCCCCTGGCACCATGCTCCATGCAACCCCAGAGGAACATGTCAATGGGATGATCATGAGATTGCCCAGACTTTCAGAACAATATTGCATGGTGGTTCCACATGTTCTGGAAGGAGACTGTGTCATTATTGAGCACATCCAGAAATAAGAAATGAAGGAGCCAGATATGTGTCTCATCATCTGGGTCAAGTCCATCAGACTGCTCCATATCTTCAAAGAGTAGGACCCATTTCAGGGTGACATCTGTGTGGTAATTGACCCACAACTTCAATTCGTGTGTTGTGGACAGAACTGAGACTTGTTAGATTGGGTTTACACAATCATGAGACCAACAGACCGACCCCAAATGTAAGAGCCTCTGCCATGACCAAAATTTTCCAGCATCCACTCCACTACTTGCAGGTTTTCAGCTCCACAATTGCCACAAATGCAAGATGGAGTTCCAAACAGTTGGTGCCCAGCATAAAATACATCCAGAACAGTTGCTGCATGGTTGTTGTCACTCACACAAATAGAATTAATGCATCAGGAGTGACTGTCAACAAACACATGAGTGAACATTTTCCACTTGACCAGTCCTGGAGAGCAGGAGGTCAGAGACAGATATTAAGTAAGTCTGAGCGGCGTATAGTGGTGCTTATCATGATGCCAGACAGCATTGGGACCTCCATTTTTGTATGGTCAGTGCCTTTGAATAATTTGATGTTTGAACAGGTGAGGTAAGGGATCATGTTGGTGCAGAAGTTGAGCCAGGTGTTCCTGAGGTACTGGATGGCTGATCGCTATCATGTGACTCTGCAGCATCATAGGCCCATTGGTCCGATGCCAATCCCAAAACTGCTGGATGACCTGTTCTGTGGGAAAGCTTTCTGCAGAAGGGAAAGCAGGGTAGGGCCTTCAGCCAAGTGGTGACGAGCCATGATGAGGCCACAATTGTTGCGTAGAATGCTGGAGCGTGGGGTAGAAGGTGAGATTAACCCAGAGCAGGTCAAAGCATGCTCAAGGGTGTGAGGTGAGATGCTGAGCTGGCGGGCTACTTGGGTCTGAGTCCTACTGGGGGTGACCATGCACAGGAACTCCAGAGGAATGTCTAAGCATGGTTGACCTGGCTTTCCAGACCTCGAAGGGTCCACATGCACAGGATAACTGTGTGGTATGGGATTGTTGTGTTCTGCAGTGGCAATATCCAGTTCAGCAAACATGAGCTCAAAGTCCTGACTGAGTGCAGATTGTTCTGCAGGTGTCAAGAGATGGTCAATCTGCAGGTGTTGAGTTGAGAAAGAGGGTATTATAGGAGGGAACTCACCTGGGAAATTGCATTCTGGAACTTGCTGACCTCTCTGCATACTCTGGAGAGCCTTTCACCTTGACCAACATTGAGGTGAACAGTAGTGAGCACCCTTGTTGGAAGGCAATCCATTTGTGTGGACACATCAGAGAGAACATTGAGTGAATTAGAAGCAAACAAGCTGGACATGGGCAAATATTAAGAGAGCTTGCTGAGTCAGGTGGAGAAAGAAAGCAGTAGGATGGCAAAGCATATTTAGGCAGATGTATGGGCATGGTCTAATGTTGAATGAAACACACAGGGTCTCAGGAGACTGTTAGGGCAACACAGGCTGACTAAGTCTGCTCACCTAAGAGTGCCAAGAGTCTAAGCAGGCAACAAGGAAGTGGAGTAGACCTGATGACTAAGACCTATCTACAGTATAGGTACCTGTGGATGATCCTAAGAGAC